TAATGATGATAATATTAATCATGTTAGTAATTGTAATGATATTGATAATGACAATGGAATATTAACAATAATAATAATTGTAGTAAAAATAATTAATATTATTAACAGTAATAACAATAATGATGATGATGGGTATTGATAATAATAATAATTTTGATAATTATGATGATGATAATAATAATAATTATTATTATTATAACAATAATGATACTACTACTACTACTATTGATAATAATAATATTAAGAAGAACGGAAGCAATGACGCTAACAATTATAACACCAACAATAACAACGAACAGTAATAGCTCTAAATAACCGAAATGAAATGAAATAAACAACAACCAATCAAAACCCCCCGACCTCCCCCTCGACTGCAGGTGGGAGCAACACACTGGTCCAAGGGCGACGTCCTCCTCTTCATGTGCGACGTGGACATAGTATTCAGCACGAGGTTCCTGGAGCGATGCCGCCTGAACGCCTCTCCTGGCCACTCGGTGTACTATCCTGTTGTGTTTTCCTTGTACAACCCGCAGATGGTTTACCCACTCCAGGGGAAGCCTGTGCCTCAGGTAAGTGGTGTTTGGAGGTGTCCGTAGGTGTTAACCCAGTCGCCTCGTATGGCAAGTGTAATACAAGTTTGTTTATTGTAATTACACAGATGGCTCTGCAAGTGCATAGTTACCAAAGAGTTGGTTATTAGTTCTACTTATCTCTCCTGTTTACCCTTTTCCTCGACTTTTGGAAAAGGTCTTTTGGATTATTTAAGTGTCTTAAATGTTATCGGAATTTTAATAACAATCTAATAATCATAACATCAATAACAATATGAACAGTATCGATGTTTTACAAAAAAAAAAAAAAAAAAAAAAAAAAAAAAAAATATATATATATATATATATATATATATATATATATATATATATATATATATATATATATATATATATATATATTATATATATATGGGACGGAACGTAAATACGGGGCGAATGGGTTATTATGTATCCATATTATGTGTTGGTAAATATTTTCCCACTTTTACATAAACAAAAAAATATTGAATTTGTGTTTACATAATTTTACTGGACTGTCTATTCACGTTATATATTCATGCTACAAAGCCACATAAATACCATTTTTCTGTATCGGCTGATGAGAAGTAAACATCAATCATTTAATTAAAATCGAATTCTTCTGGGTAGAAAATACCTGAATTTGGAATCACCGAAACGAATATCATGTTGCAAGCATTTAACTTTTGTTTGGATGACTCGTATGCAGTTGGGAAAAAAAAATGCAGAGCGTATTGCAAAATAAAACTGTCTGGTCTGAGTTGGCTGTTTACATAATATTAGGAATGTTTACTTCCACATCGCGCTTGATCGTGCAATTTGAACGTTTAATTAGTAATATTGATAAAACCCGTTGAGGCATACAGACCTAACTCTAATTTCGAAAAGTGATTATCCTATCAGTAATTTCTATACTTTAACCCAATTAATACACAAACGACAAAGATACGTCGTTCCACGTCACTATCTGTATCAAAACTCAATAAAGCATAAGTAGCAATTCAACCGAAGAGTATGTTAACAGATAAGAGTTATTAACAAAGTGATTGAATGAATAGTAACTTTAACTGACAGAGCGATTAACAAAGTGATTTAATGAAAAGTAACTGAAACTGTGATAGAGCGATTAACAAAGTAATTCAGTGAATATATATATATATTTTTTTTTTTTTCCTTTTTATTTTCTTTTTTCTTTTTTCTTTTTTTTTTCTTTTTACCATCGCCTCTCCATCCCCAACAGGAACTGGACCAACTCGTCATTTCAAGAGACACAGGATTCTGGCGTGACTTCGGCTACGGGATGACCTGCCAGTACAGGTCAGACTTCCTCAACGTCCAGGGCTTCGACGAGGATATCATAGGATGGGGAGGAGAGGATGTACTGCTCTACCGCAAGTAAGTTCGGCCGCGCCTTCGTCTGCGTGTCTCCTGGAGGGAATAAGAAAAACGTTTGCTTGCGTGTGTGTGTGTGTGTGTGTGTATGTCTGTGTGTGTGTGTGTGTGTGTGTGTGTATGTGTGTGTGTGTGTGTGTGTGTGTGTGTGTGTGTGTGTGTGTGTGTGTGTGTGTGTGTGGTGGTAAAGCCAAAATCATGATAAGGATATTACGTGTTTGTAAAGATCTCATGTCGTGTCATTGCTTTCCTTTTTGTCTCCATCATAGCAAGTATGTTGTTAATTATTTTCTTTGATACTTTTGATTATTAGTTGCCTTAAACACACAATATTTAGGTACTGTGGTATATATATCGGTAATTGTAATCTTAAAAATCACATCCTGTCATCTTTAAAGTACCTACATAACCGACAACAACATAAAATTACGACGAAGGTAAATGTAAAGGTGAGAGACAGAAAACAAACACTTAAGACTTTAATTAGCACAAAAAGAGAACAGAGGGAACAACCGTACTAACCTAACAACCAGCACTAACAACCAACACTAACAACCAGCACTAACAACCAACACTAACAACCAGCACTAACAACCAGTACTAACAACCAGCACTAACAACCCAACGGCGAGCACCTAACCACCCAACCACCTAACCGCCCCATTCCCCCCTCGCAGATACGTCAAATCAAGGCTCTCTGTGATCCGCTCCACCGACCCGGGGATCTTCCACCTGTGGCACCCGAAGGAGTGTTCCACGTCCCTCTCAGCTGATCAGTACCGTGCCTGTATCACTTCACGTGCTTTGAACGAGGCCTCCCACGCCCACCTCGGCCTCATTGCCTTCAAGGACGACCTCGGGAAGCACCCTCTCGGCGCCGATGCACTCACCGGCAGCCAGGCTCTTGAGGAACAGCAACTCAAGGCTGAGATGTAGTCGTCGGGATTTTTTTTCTTTTTTTTTTAATTCTTGAAAGCTGTTTTAGAAATTATAAGAAGAAAAAAAAATGGATACGCTGTGCAGTGCCTGTGACTGATGCCTCTCTTTCCAGAATTTTCTATGTGGAAATAAATCTACAGCAAATATATAGATATATATGTGTGTGTGTTTATGAAAATAACTTTGGAAATGTTGCTACTTTCAGCTCTATATTACTTCCAAATCACAACCGAAAGTTAGCCAGTTCTATTGCATATTGTAAGCATGTGAAACATTTTTTTTTTCTCTCAATTAATTGCTTTATGGAGATACAATTCATCGTTTTGAAGGAGTAATGAAGGTTATTTTGGTTTTAAAATTCATAAAAAGAAGAAATATTTTTATCCTGGTTATCTGTTTCTGTTCTGCCTTTAGTTTTTAATTTCAATCCTCAGTTATTACAAGAATTTATTATATTTTCACCAGTGTTTCCATTATCAACCCTTTGGCTGTGAGCTGACATAAATATACAGTATAGGGGGAAAAAATATTTGTATTAATTTATTTAACTTTAACAACAACAGAACAAAAACATAAATAAGACAATGACAAATTAATATAAATGAAAATTTAAAGAAGTACCTATAAAGTTCAATTCTTGGTTCGTTCAGCCTAAGAAAATAAAGATAAACTTCAGACGAAAAGAAAAAAAACATTAATTAGAGATAGAATTCCTATACACAATACTACTCTTGCTTCCATGTTGCAAAAAGAGAGGAAAGGAAGACTGTAAGGACGAAATTATTTTGCATTTTCATTATCTAAAACTAATACAATTTTTGAAGTGACTAAAAACATTATATATCGCGCGTAATTAAACAGCCAAAGGGTACAAAAAGCAAACAATATGATGATAACTAATATTCCATTTAAAAGTGTTCTACCATCATTATCTTCATGATTTTGATCCCGAATGTTGTAATATATTTTTTTCTTTGTATGAATACATTGTTTGTAAAATAGTTGCAAGTCGAAAATAGCCGTTGATATAAACAACAGTTTTCTATGTGAATTCTAAGACCGTCTATAGCGAGGCAAAAAGTGTATGTGGTAAGAGGAACATATTTGAGAAATGTAGAATATAAGTGATTTTTAATTTCTTCGTCTTTTTTTTTCATTTTAGCCACTGAGCTCTTCGGTTGTATATAGTTCATTTTATTCCTGGTAAAGTTTTTTTTATGTTTATATTCAGCAGTTTTAACCGTACTTTTTTATTATTTTTTCCCCTTAGATATTGTCGTTATTATTATTAGTTATTATTATTATTATTAGTTGTTATTATTATCATCAGTATCACCATTATTATCATTATAATTTTCATCAGTATCATAATTATCATCATCATTATTATCACTACCATCATGAATATTATTGATATTGATTTTATTATTATTTCTACCCGTGAAATATGTAATGCTGATTTTACATATGTGTATATTTCTCTTACAACTGCAGAGAAGATATCTTGGTGTATGAATTCACTCCATTTATATTTCTCTTTAAATATCTTACTCTGTATATCCACATTCCTACACATTTTTTTTTTTTTTTTTTCATACGATACTAACAACAATTTTCTATTTATTGTTGTCTGTTTCTTTCTTTATCTCTCCTTTCCTTCTTTCTCTCTCTTTTTTTTTCATTCAGCCAGCATGGCCAAGTTTCAAAAGATCATGAAGGTTTTTGTTGTGATAATATAAGGCTTTAGAATAGATAAATCCGGAACATCAAAAATGCCAGTGGGTGAAAGAACAGTCCAGATAGAGTTAATGAGCAATTTTCTCTCGTTTCATTTATGGCTAGGCTGTGTGGAGACATATGCGATGTTCTTGAAAATATGACTACAGTGTCTCGAGAAAAGAGTCTGTTTATATCTATACATACATGAATGTGAGTGTGTGTGTATCTGTGTATGTATATATATATATTATATATTATATATATATATATATATATATATATATATATATATATATATATATATATATATATATATTATATATATATATATATATATATATATATATATTATATATATATATATTATATATATATATATTATATATATATTATATATATATATATTATATATATATATATATATATATATATATATATATATATATATATATATATATATATATGTATGTATGTATATATGTATATGTAAATGTAAATACACACACACGTATGCATGTGTTTACACTGGCCATGTATGTACTGTATATAGTTTGTATATAAATGTTTGTATATAAGCATATACAACATGATGACTGTATATGCCATATATATGATGAACATTTATCCATTCCCTATACAGTGTTAAAACGGACAGCCTTCCTAACAATTCCCATTACCCTATATAAAAAAAAGTATTATCCAACAAAAAATCGAGTGCATATTACAAGCAAAAGACTTTATCCGCGTGTCGTATATTTTAGGGCAGAGTGGGTAGTGCGTTCAGTTCACTTCAGTGGTCAGTTTGTATAATTGGTTTCTTTATTTTACATTTCTGTTTAGTCATGAAAATGACAAAAAAAAAAATGTACATATACATACATACATACATACATACATATATGAATATTTATACTATTTTCAAGAGTGGAACTTGGATACCCGATGTAAGATTTTTTTTCTCTCTTTCTTTTTATTTCTTTTTTTCAGTTTTTAGAAGTGAAATTTTGAAAATGCTCACACATGAAGTGCTTTTTACGACCGCTAGTAAGAAATCGTTTCTCGTTGTCTCTGTGTGTGTGTCACTTCTACTCGAATGTTTTTTTGTTTTTGTTTTTTACAAGTAGAAACCATATTCGAAAACTGATAACGCTTGATAACTCAAAATTAAGTTACGAAAGATCAACATTCAACATTCATCAATCAATTTTCCAACATCAGCACGAACAAATGTTTCTTTTTTTTATAAACGTAGCCATAGAAGTGTCCTGAGTTATTACCTCCCTTTTTACACCATCTAGAAATATACACCACCTAATCAAAGATATGAAAGCCTTCAATAAGCAGGTGCAATGTGAAGTCAATTCCCTTAAGAATTTCTAATTTCTGAACATGGACAATAGACTGAAATAAAAATGCCCTTCGTAATATTTCAGTCTATAACCATACTCTCTTGGATGTGCGGTATGATACTAATGTTATAAGATGTTTATTGTAATATATCGAAAAAAAGCAGAAACTTCTCAAATTAATAAGCTAATAATAGTACTCAATACCGGCACTGTTTATACATATTATAAGCAACACAGAAAACGGAGCTCGATTATATTTAGGAGTGACTGAACTGTTTATATTATTATTATCATTATTATTATTATTATTATTATTATTATTATTGTTATTATTATTATGAGTACATAATAACCATGTAAGAATCTGATGTTCATAACATACTTTGATTTCTTTACAATGCACCTCTAATGTGATCTGATCTTGTCGTCTTCCATAAGCTGTATATGTGAAACTTCTATATTGCTGTCATGATATATTGTTAAGGATTTTACATGTACTTAGTGTTTGATCAACAGCCTTAATGTTTAATATCTGACGTACACATATATCATTGTGTTATGATTAGCGATGCTGTAGTATATTCCATTTCAGAGCCCATTCCACTTTTACACTTAGTTGTAATATATTGTGTAGAGATGTTTGTTTATGTAGCATTACAGTTTGAAATATATGAATTATATAAAGAAATGATGGATACTGTTATTTGTTGCCTTTTATTGTCCTACTTATATCCACATTTTGATGATCTTTTTAAGAAAATTATAAGTATCTTATTCCAAGATTGAAGTATCAGTGCCGAGGAAATATAATGATACAAAATATATAATACCACCTGAAATATATTTTTGATGGAACCGATTAGAGATTTTATAACTAATAGGGAGGTCAACACGTGTATCACTGTAGCCTTATTTACAGTTATTCATTGCAAGGATGTGAATTGCAATATGTTAATGGTTTAATGTGAAAACGAATTGGGTTTGAAACTCTGGTCCTTCAGCATTCAACAGCTTGCGTTCCATCAACTTCATAATATTTTTGTGGTCACTTCGAGCGAAGTAGGTTGAACTGCATATGATACAAAAAGATGATGGTGATAATTATGATGTTTATTATAATGATGTCGATGAGGAGATGATGATGTCGATGTCGATGGTGATGATGATGTTAATGATGGTGATGGTCGTGGTAATAGTGATGTTGATTATGGTGAGAAGCCAGAATTATAATGTCTTGCATTAAAATAGTAGAATATATTGCAATCGTAATGGTAACAATTAAACAAGTCTCTGCAATGCCACCTTCCTAAATAAACGAACTCTCCCCAAAGCGTATAATTGTGAGGAATATGTTTTAATGAAAGTAATATATCAAATACGATGAATTGGTATCTTTAATTTTGTTTACAATACTAAGCACTTGCGATGAATAAATATATCATAACGAAAAGCTGTCACAGAAAGCCATGGAAAGTAAAAAAAAGAAAAAAAAAGAAAGAAAGTAGCACTGAATAAACATTTAATGAAGGTATAATCATCGGTAGAAAAATTACTGCAACACAATCTTCATAATTTTAAATTCTCAGTATCATTAACAAACAACTGTAGAAACTAGAAAATGTGTACGCCTTCATACACATACACATACTAACGAATATCCTGCAGGAACGGTTGATGTTTTATGTTTAAAGGAATGATCTGTATACCAATCGATCTTTTCCCGACGCACTAGATCCATTTTCACGCAAAACTTTCCTCTGACTTTCCATCCCACGTGCAAAAGGCATGGTGGCGCTGAATCTTTTGCGTCTCCGTGACCTGAAGAAAACGGTTACTTGTGTGTAACTGCCTCTGAGCGCTGTCTCAGAGGCAGACAGCGCTGTCTCAGAGCGCTTGATGTTTGTAGATTGAATGGTTTGGTTTCGTGAGGATGTGTCGATGTGGAGAGCGATGGAGGGGGTGTATTGTGAGGAGGACGGGTGTTAGATTGTGTTCTTGTTTGTGTGGTTTGGTGCCATTGTCTTAAAAGTAAAGCCTTATGTTATATACTGAAAGCCCTTTAAGAGTATATTCCTTAATAGTAAGTTTCGAGAAGTTAATAAAAATCAATATGAGGCAATATGAGATATGAAGGAGCGATTAATCAATCATGAAATCACTCGGGCGGTTTGTTGAGCAAGTGCATCTTGGAGGCCGCTTCGTTGAGGTTGACGGCCTTCTTCGAGGACTTCTTCGTGTCTTGTCGCTTGAGCTTCTTCTCGCCCTCCTCGGCCTCGTTCTTCTGCTGCTGGTCGTGCGCCGCGCCCT